TTCCCCGTGAAGCTGGGAGCTAGGAGACAGTGCCCACTCCTGGTAGAGTTCACAGCAGTCTCGGTCTGACTGGCCGGCATCCATCTCACCCCAGGACGCCCCGGCCCTGCAGAGGTGGGGAGAAGCCAGGACTTTGATTTTATTTGGGAGCTATTTGTTTTCACTCATGATTTTGCATCTCGTCTCCTTTCTCTGTGACACCTAAACGGGTCAGAGGCAGCTGCTCTGTCCATCTGGCTCAGAAAGCTGAGCACAGCTCTGTGCCCAGGAAGGACTGGACAAAAGGAAGGACATCATAGGCATGTCAGCACCCTCCATCCCCCTGAGACTGCCCTCCCCCATCTCAGCAGACATGGTCCAGAGGTTTGGGGAGCGTAGGTGATCTGGCGCCAAGGGAAGTTGGGGTCTTCACCCTACCAGGAGGGGACTCCAGAGGAGACTTGTGGCCCCAGCTCCAGCAAAAACTTGCTAGAGCCATTCCTGCCTTCCCCGTTTATTCATTCATTCATTCATCATTCATTCATTCATTCATTCACTCATTCAGCAAGTATTTGTTGAGCATCTGTGGAGTGCTGAGTGGTGAGTGAGGGATGTACTGCCTCGCCCCACAGGGTTTAGAGCCTGAGGGGGAGACAAAGCTGCACAGCCAAGAAACAAATACATGGAGTAACTGCTCATGTGGGGAAGGACCAAGCAGGAGGCCTCCTGGGAGAAGGCAGGGAACCCACCCTTAGCTGCAACTGTCAGAGTCAGAGGAGGGGGAGGGGGCATTTCAGCAGAGCCCTGAAAGCCGAGGAGCCAGCTGCAGGAAGAGTGTTCAGGTGAGAAGGAACAGCATGTGCAAAGCCCAAAGGTGGAAGAGAGCCCCCCCAAAGCTCCCATTTTGCGTGATTCTCTTTCTCTGGTCTGTGCCAGGGAACTTGCAAATCCAGATACACAGACTCTAGAAAGTCAGACTGATTTATGTTTGAGCGTCACATCCATTACAGACCAGCTATGTGGCCTTGGACAAGCTAGTTGACCTCCATGGGCCTCAGTTTCCCCTTCTGCAGAATGGAAATAGGAGAACATGTCTCATGGGCCTATATATGAACAGACGTGAAGCACTAGCACGGTGGTTGGAGGAAAGGGGGATTCAAAGGTGTTAGATTATTTTTCCACTAGTGTTTAATAAATCCCTGTGTGTGTGTGTGTGTGTGTGTGTGCGTTTCCTATTTTGAGGGGGCTCAGCCTGCGTAAGCAAAATAGGGCTTCAGTTTCTAGACAAAGAACTAGCTCGCCCATCTGAGTCCAGAGGGCAGCTCTCACTGAGGGGGGTTCTAGATGTGCAGCTTCCTCCTGGGGGGCTTCCTAGAGGAGGTGGGTAGGGAGGTATTTTGGAACAGGGATGGCCAGGCAGGGCATTGGCACCCCTCGGGGCAGGAGCACTGCAATGGAAAGAGCACTACCCCAAGAGTCACAGAACTGACTGCCGCCAGCATACCCTGTTGTGTGAACAAGTCACCCACTTTCTCTGGGTCTCAGTTTCCTCATCTGTAAAATGGGGATAGTGCTAAGAACCACCTCACTGGGTGGTGGTGAGGACAGAATGGGATCATGCCTACAAAAACACTCTGCAGACAGTCCCATGCTGCACGAAGAGGGTAATTTCCTTCCCCAGAGGAGAATGCTGGCTGGATCAGAGGGTGATGGTGTGGTGACCGGTTGCAGGTCTCCACCGGGAGCCGGGCTGAGAGTTCTCCATTCTCCACTCTCGATCCCCTAGGTCTGGTTCAGTAACCGCCGTGCCCGTTGGCGTAAGCAGGCAGGAGCCAACCAGCTAGCAGCATTTAACCACCTTCTGCCAGGAGGCTTCCCGCCCACCGGCATGCCCACGCTGCCCCCCTACCAGCTGCCGGACTCCACCTACCCCACCACCACCATCTCCCAAGGTGAGTGTCCCGGCCCACCCTGACATCTTGGTGGCACCCCATTGTCCCTTCCCTCGTCCCATCCATTCTTTCTTTGCTTTCACTTACAAGCTTTATTCTTTTTTATGACCATTTCTCTACTTCTATGTGGGCATACTGTTAAGACAAAAAAGCTGTGGTCCTGCCCTTGAAATTCTTGGCTCTGCCAACAGGCCACGGAGCATCCAGGTGGGGTCAACAAGGCTGCCCCCATGCACTTGTTTGGAACTGGGCTTCCCGAATTGTGAAGTGCACGTGGATCTCCTAGGGACCTTATTGAAATGTTGGTCTGAGTGGGGCCTGAGACTCTGCATTTCCAATAAGCTCCCCGGTGAGGCCCAAGCTACCAGTCCATGGACAGTGCCTTG